CTTAGGTGAGTGTGGCTGTGAGGGTGAGGGTGAGTGAGGGTGACCTAAAATGCCGACCTCTGCTTATTACATGAGCTTCCTAACACTAAATCTAATGCTGAGGCAGTCGCACTTTTAAATCATCACGATCGGCAGTTGCTTCTGTTCTACAGACACACCAAGATGGCAGCGCTCACAACAGTATCGGGGAACAAAGTGCCGATACTATAAGCGTAGCTTATTTAGTGGTTCTAATGCGTATCAGGAAACAAGGAGCTCGCGCTTGCAGCCTTTCTTAGTAGAGAGTTTTAGTTGATCGTTCCGATGACTCCGAGCATGCATAGGATCGTTATCCGGGCTATCGGAGGTATCGGAACGATCTACTAAAACTCTCTATTAACTAAAGCACGAGACGGGGGCAAGAAAGATACAAAGCGCATCGTCTCATAAGAAATTTTGAAAACAAAATAGACGAGTACACTTAAAACTGCTTACGTGTCCGAATGCGAAAGCCAGTCAAGGACGACGTCGAGGACGACTTCTAGAACGACTTTAAGGACGATGTCTAGAGCGACGTCGAGAACGACCCTAAAGGACGACGTCTAGGACGACTTCTAGGACGCCCTCTAGGACAACCTCAAGGACGACGTCAAGAACGACGCCTAGAGGATGACGTCTAGGACGACGTTGTGAAGGACGCCTAGAGGAGGACACTTAAGGAGGCTGTGGCGTATTTGCGTGGGCGGCCACGTTTGCCTGTGGAAGCCGCCGTAGATGTAGACGCTGCTGCCGATGTCGAAGACGTAGATGTATACGCGGCCGCCTCACAGTCCATTGCACGAAGCACACAACGAGCAGCGATGAAGTCCGAATAACACCTTCTGCACACGGCGCTCCGGCGTTGCCATCACGCTGATGACGCATGATGACGCATGATGAAGATTCATATTAAAAATAGCGCAAAAAAGACGGGACAAAAAGACGAAGAAGCGCACGGGACAAGCGCTAACTGGCAACTGAAGTTTATTGAATGTTTCCAACTTTGCTGACGCTGTGCACGCGCGTAGTCTCGTCTTGACAAAAACACGGCGTACCGTCAAATCAGCAGATACAGCCCGCCCACCGCCTGTTCAAAAATCCAGCAAAACAGCTACATCACCCCGCCGCACAATCCGAACAAGGAAAGGAACCGCGTTAATATTTACAAGTTAGATAGTGATAATGAAACTGTACTCTTTTGGCTGCATATACACAGATGCGACGCTTATGCAAACGTCTTTGTCACAAGCATGTATTTTTGCCGCCTCCAGCAACTCTCGTTCCAACCTTCCTTTGTTCCGTCCCTCCACCTGCGCAGCGTCCAGCGGGGGGGTACCACAAGTTTTACAATGCCCCGCAAATGGGAACGGTAATTGTTGCCAAGAGAACCCGCATTCTCTTGAAGTATTTCATTTAAGCAACGTCCCGTCTGGCCTATGTAAACACGAGCACAGGATAAAGGAATAGTGACACCCATCTCAATGGCAAAAGGCACAAACTTTGTGACATGTTTCTTGCTGCTAACAGGTTTCTTCACTTTCGGCCCGCTCACCATAGCGCACAATTTTGACACTCTGCACGGGGCAGTGAAAACAACGTCCTTGTCGAACTTAGACGCTATCCTTTTCAGATTTTGCGACACCTTATAAATGTAAGGTAGCACTACAAAATTCTTTCGTTTCCTGTATTAGAACCGAGGGGGAACCGGAGTATGCAATGTAAATTTCTTTGTTAGTATTTTTGGCGTTATTGAAATTTTAAAATTTTATTATTGTGAGTTGTTTGGAATTGTTTATTTGTATTGTTGGTTGCTGGCTTGTGTTGTTTGTGTGCGTTTCCAACGTATAATGTGATCTGCACCTCGCTCCACTTCTGTAGTGCTCCACATCCGGCGCTGCGGAGTACAAATAAATAAATAATCACTCTGAACAAGTGTATTGTTGCCGAAGTTTATAGAGGCGGTTTATTATAAACAGCTGTCATACACTAACAGTGAAACGCAAAGTAACGAAAAACGAACGTAAAAGTAACGTCCGTTAGTCATTTCAAGTAACGACACCGGTATTTTGTTACATTTGCAAAATGGTAACGGATCTCTGTAACGCATAAGCTTTTTCACGAGCTAATGAGTCACGCTATTTCGTTACTTATTTTCGGTAACGGGAAATACACTGATTCTGAACTCTCTGGTCCTTGTCAGCATGATCAGACCTGCTTAATTTGTATCAATAATATTATTGACAATGAAACACCATTTCGAGTGCTGAATATCCAAGTTTGGAGGATATTTTTTGGTGAGAACCTTTTGTTTTTACTTGGCTACGTCTGCTCATTTTGAGCAGACGTAGTTGCACAGGTGGTGATTCAGCGTTCACGTTCTCCCGACCCCCTTAATTTTGTCAATTTCTTTGAACCGTACCAGCAGATACTCCCGTCCTCTGCAGTCGTGCAGCCTCCACCAATATCAAAGACTCATTCGACGAGGCAGTTTCAGGCTGTTTTGCTAAATTCGCTTTGGATAGGCCAACATTTCTTGGGTTATGGAAATAGTCAAGTCTTTGTTCTTTAACACCCTCTAAAAATACAGCGCCTCTGCAGAGAGTGCTTAGCACCGTCGCATAAACTGCCTCGGCAAACCGTATTTCTTATTGTTGGAGACTGTACCTGCGTGCGTGCGTGCGTGCATGCTTCGTCGATTGCTGTCAGCGATTTGTCTCCCACACACAAAGCTGTCCTTGAGTACCGTCACCCTCAAAGCCGTTAACGAGGATAGCATTTGGGCACAAAAAAACATTTGAGGATCGCGTTAATTTCCCGAGCAAAATTTGCAGCTGTGGCCGGATAATTCGCAAACAATGTGTTAGACGTCACGCGTCCTTCCTAACGTTCATCCGGCTTACCAGCTGGTACTGTCGCCAGGTACTAATGCAGTCTCCTTCTAAATTTACCTTTATTCTATCGTTCAAGCTTTAGTTAGGTCCCTCTTCTAACGTGACCCTTAAAGTAACTTAATCAGTGAGCACGGCACGACTCGCTCCTGCTAAGCATAACCAGAGGATCCTCCGAGTGTCAGGGCGGCTGATTTGAAGACCTTTGGTTTTTGAGCGTCGGCCTGTAGCGCGCATAATTTGAGTATGTCCAGAGGAGAATTACAGAGAATAGGAACGATAGTTTACTGCTGGTTTTTTCTCGGTTTTGTGCAAGTGTTGTCGGATCTAGGCAGGAATGCTCCAGTTGGGTGAGTAGAAATCTGCGCAACTTTTATATCATTGAAAGGAAAAAATACGTTTACAGTAATTAGTCTTGAAAATCTCTATACACAAAAAAAAAATTCAGGCGAGAGATTCGGGAACAACTGTGAAGACCACCCTAGTGCGTCTTTGGTCGGCGCTTAAGTTGAGCGAGCTCACGGGTACCCCTAGCTTTGCCCATACTGCCAGGAAGGTTTGTCCCAAGATAAACATGTTTTACAAAAACATTTACTCAATTTTCTACAGAGTTTTTGGAGCAAATAGTGTATAGAGGCTATAGATATTCTAAAGAAAATGAGTGCACTTTTCTACCCACTGTCTAATGGCGACGTGCGCAACCAAAAGCGTGGCTGTGATCGTTCTTTCACGATTGGCCAAACGCTCAGTGACGTCATCGGTTGGATTAATTCTGCTACCATCGACGGAAACAAGAGCACAGACTCTCAACTTCAACGGTGTTCATTTAGGAACGTGATGACCATGCTTTCACTGTGCTTTTTACCCATCATCACACTTGTCGCTCGCTAATAATAAACTTGGTCGTAATGTCAGAGGTAGGAACACAAGATGGCGCCACGGAAATATATCGTGGCCAATAGCTTTTTGGACGCTTTTCTGTAAATTTTTCATAGAACTTAGTGTATAGAGTTGATATATAAATTGTATAGAGAACAGATATAGATTTTAACAGAGATTCTACCGCTCCCTTACGAAAGATTACATCGTAAAAAAAATTAAATCCCAAATTTTGATTTTCGGTTTATCACGATACATCCATTAAACACCTGCCGTGTGCATGTACGCAGACATCACAAATGCACACTCCACAGAGCACTCATTACACTAGTAATTCTGTAGTTGTTGACTGCTCCACCGCTATATATACCCTACACTTGAAAGGGAGTCGCTTGAACGAGGACCATTCCAGAAGATGAAAAGATTACGAGTATCTTGCTTTTTCTTTGCACATCCCTTATACGAATTGTGCTTGATAAGAGTGTGTGAACTGCATCTCCAAATACAAAGCATTTCAAAAGACGGTAGGTAATTGACTCTGTCGAAAAAAGCAACCTTCGCAAGACGGCCACAAGTGGATGTGATTTCGCTTCTCTGTGCATTTTATTATTCTAGCGATTCAAGCCTATAAAAAGTATATAGAAATATTGTGACAAAACGTCTATTGAGGCCTAGTGATATAAATTCTATAGCATTTCTATCGTGTGTACTTTATAGACCTCGATTGTCTATGGAAGTCGATTGAAAATTGCCGATACGGCGTGACTGCATAGAAAGTTGAAGGAGTTATTAAAATGTGGATAGAATTTTTATAGACTGCCTGAAACATATTTGGTAAGGGGTGACTTCCACGTGACGACATTGCACCATGCAGGATGCCTCAATTTCCGTCTGTTTAAGAGTGATGTTATTTTTCGTAGTACCTGATGACGACAGCACACGCTCACGGGAAAAGAACAAAGAAATTGTCAAAAACAGGATGTCGCCGTAGCACAGACAGCGCCAAGAGCACGCGCAGAGATATGCTCCTTCACGCACGTAAAACAAACAAAAAAAAGAACGAAAAAAAGCATCTAGACCAAAATGGCCAGATGTCATCACCCTAAGGAAAGTGCACAAGAAGGCACTTTACCCCCATCCTGTGGTGTTATTCTCCTCGGAATCGCGAATCTTTCAAGTTGTGACCTAACTCGAACGTTGTCTCAATAATGAGAAATGCGTTGGTTGGTACTTCGTTCCTTTTGGCAAAAAAGCCCCAAGACAAGTATAGAAAATACGAGCCACAACACAAGCGCTACTTTCCACTGACTGTTTATTGAAGCAACACGACTTATTTGTACACCCAATCGGGCTTCTCAAGCAGGAATTCAAATTCTTTATCTGTTAAATAAACTGTCGGAGCACTTATGCATCTACCACTACCTTGCATTCTGATGTTGAATGACTCATACAATTCTCTGGAAATCTTGTTCCTTAAATACCCCAGAATTTTTTGTTTATCCATTTCAGGGACATAAGGACATCTATCACAATAAATAGCCAAATTGCCCGATGGGGAATTCCTTATTGACAATGTGTGCTCCCGTTCCCTGACATCGACGCACCTGCCCATTCGACCTACGTTATTTCTAGCGGCGGGCTGCACCCCCCCCCCCCCCCCCATCTTCCAGGGGAGGATTCGACGCTGTACGTGCACTGCCTAATGCAAATGAGCGGAGTAATCCCCTAGTAAAATACTTATTTGTAAACACGCTGGCTTAACCCCCCCCCCCCCTCACCCCCATTAAAATATTACTACGCAGCCAGGGCTCCTCGATTTCCGACATCTTCGGCCCGGGCGAGCCCCTCTACCTGACCCCGCTGATCGAGAAAAACCAGCTGGACAAGGCGAGAGCCCTGAGCCGCGTGGGCACCCTGGGCCTCGTCCGGGACGTGCCCAGTTACTCGGGATTTCTGACCGTGAACCCCAGCTTGGGCAGCAACATCTTCTTCTGGTTCTTCCCTGCCATGGTGACGGGCCAACGTATTACGCACATTAATACGCGTTTGCAAGGAGGCACACGTTAAAAGCTAGTCAGTCCACAGTGCGTGAAGAACGATTTGCCAGGGCCACCGGTCTGACTATCGTGCGGTATACACACACCGGCAGCAAGACCCATTTCGGTTCTGCCGTGTATTTCTAAAATCCTCGAAAAACGTCTCCTGTTTTGTATGACAAGTTTTCTAGATAAGCACGATATCATATCAGCCTCACAGTGCGGGTTTGTGTCTAATCGAGGCACGACATCCCTGCTGGACGTATTTTCAGATTCTTTGCATTCGTCGTTTGACAACCACTCTTGCGTTTGTGCGCTTTTTCTTGATGTTGCAAAAGCATTTGAGTCAGTGAACCGTGACATTTTATTAGATAAGCTGTTTCACCTTGGGTTCAGGGGTATTCTTGCTCGTTTGCTTAGAATTTTTTGTGCGCACGTGTTCAACTCGTGTTTGTTAAAGAAGTTCAGAGTACAAAGGCCACACTTAGCTCCGGAGTCCCACAAGGTTCCGTGTTATCCCCTCTTTTATTTAATGTATATGTTAACGACAAGCTTTTTCAAGTGGTTACGTGTAAGATATTGCAAAATACAGACGACACTCTGTTTTGTTTCTTGTCATACTGACATCGAACACGCTGATTTGAGCCATCAGAAAATGCCGTTACTGTCATGATTCAATTTAGAAATAACAGAATAAGTGTAAACGCCTCTAAAGCAAAGCTGGTATGTTTCCGCAGCCCGTAGAAAAATGTCAAATTGTTTCCACCCTTTGTGCACAACTCCAATTGCGTACCATGTTGCTGCAACCCTGTTCAATGTGTCTCTCCTGCCAAGTATCTATGAATGTACTTTGATTCTGACCTGTCTTGATCTACGCAGCTCTCTTTTGTGTCGAAATGACTAAGAAGTGTATCTTGTCATCTCTATAACCAAAAGTGTTCTTTCCGTTTGGAAGTAGAAAAATGCTCATGCACTCTTTGGCGTATAGTGTCCTTAGGTACGGTGTTACTCTATTTTTTGACTGCTCTCGACATTGGCATGAAATAGATAGCATTCTGAGGGAGATGTTAAAAAGCGTTGCTTAAGATTCAACACTTTCTTCAACTCATAACTTATTTAGTTTACTCAAACTGCCTTGTTTCTACTCGTTGTTTATTCAGACGGTCGTTTTTCGTAACTTTTGGTCCAGTAAATTTAAAACTAAGAGGGTGGCCCGACGTACATTTAGGAACACTACTCGCTCTGGAATTCCTCGTATCTATACTCATTATGGGGAAAGCATTAGATCATTTTACGTACAGTGCTCAACGAAACGAAATGGGCCAGCGGAACGCGTGGCCTCCAGAACTTGCTGCGCCATCTACCGATAAAAGACGGGCTGCCTGGTGACGCGAGTCGGAGGTGTGCAAAGCTGATACGAGCGCTCATCGGCTGTTCCCACGCTGTGCACAACCCCCATGGGTAATCTCTGCAGAGTGATAGCCTCTTTTATTATTTAATCGCCGCGTGGTTTTATCGCGATCTGTTTGACGCCCTGTGCATACTTTTATCTTGTCTCAAATATGAAAGAAAAGGAACAAAAGGGCAATATTTTTTTCTTTTAATAAAAAGCACAGTGCCATTTCACTTCACATTTATTTTTCTATAAATTGTCGGTTCACTGCCATCAGTATCCATTCGTGAAGATGCCGTCGCGAGTGCCAATTCACGAACGCTGGCGAATTGTGGCCCTATGCCGCGCGGGAATGCCCCAACGAGAAGTCGCCCGGATGACAGGAAGGACCCGAACCGCAGTGGCCTGAATTTTCACGGCGTTTCGAGACGACAACGGCCGCATCCATGACGCTCCTCACGACGTCCGCCCAAGGTCCACTACCGATGAGGAAGATCGATGGATCGTCGCGGCTGCAGTCGACCAGCCTTTTATTACGGCCCGTGACATTCGAGGCGAACTTGGTCTGAATGTCAGTGACCAACTTGTGCGACGCCGTCTTGCAGAAGCGGGTATTAGGAGCTATGCTGCGTGCAAGAAGCCAATTTTAACTCCTCGACAAAAAGATATCCGCCTGCGGTTTGCCATGGAAAAGACATCATGGACGATTCAAGACTGGAAAACCGTTGTTTTCAGCGACGAGTCCTCTTTCTCAACTGACTGGCACCAAGGAAAACAAGTTTGGAGACCGCGAGGTGCACGGTATGTTACTTTTGAGCAACACGACAATTTTTAACAAGCCGGATCTTATAATTTGTGATTTTGATGTTTCAGGTATGATGCCCCTTACTTGCAGCGTGTGGGCAGGAGTGGGCGACAAACCGTTAACGTCTGGGGGGCATTGTCAGCGGAAGGACTTGGTCCACTTGTAAGAATCCAGAGGCTTAACTCCGAAACGTATTGCGACGTCATTGAGCACGAGCTCATTCCTTACGTTCTTGAGGGACCTTTCCCTGACGGATGCTTTTTTTTTTCAACATGACCTTTGTCCTGTTCATCAGTCAAATCGTGTGCGTGACCTTCTAGAGGAACGCGGAGTGGCGGTTATGCCATGGCCCCCAAAAGGGGCTGACATGAACCCCATCGAGAACATCTGGGGAAACATGAAGATCCAGCTATCGCGGCGAGGACTTCACTCCGTCACGACTGACCAGCTATGGGATGCTGTGAAGGAAGAATGGGACAGGCTGCGGCAATATCCAGAGTTGGTGGTGAATCTTTATGAATCCCTTCCGCGTCGCATGAATGCTATTTGTGAAGCCAATGGAGAGTTCTGCAAATATTAGAGTAAGGTGCTGATAATAAAACAAGCACGTTACTTATATTATTTTTTTTCTGGTAGGCGCAGCATTGTGTAACATGTCAAATAAACTATGTTGACACAGCACACGCTTTTTAATGACTGTCAGACGCTCGCTAAAATTGAATAAAACCACGAAAAAATAAAACTATCTGCATTAATATATTATAGCTGCAAAAGGCCGGACGCGCTGGCTCATCAATCTTTTATGGAATAAAAAATGAAGCTTTATCTTTTCTTTTTTATATATTTGAAGCAAGATAAACTCATGCACATCATCACGACAGTGTCTCTGAGGAAAAATAAACGTGGTCACTCCGCAAAATCATGGCCTGCGCAGATTATCGGGGGTTGCGCGCCTGTGTGCGAACAGCCGCTGAGCGCTCGTATCAGGTTTGCGCATGTGCGACTCGCGTCACCAGGCAGCCCGTCTTTTATCGGTAGATGGCGCAGCAAGTTCTGGAGGCTACGCGTTCCGCTGGCCCATTTCGTTTCGTTGAGCACTGTACCAATGATTTTTAATGAACTATCAGACAACTTATTCTTAACTTATTCTAACCTTGGGCTCAAAACGAATCTGAAAAAGTAATTTCATGATACCACCAAGTGATAGATGTACAGTTGACATTTAGTGATTGTTGTTGCCTACTTCGTTTTTATCCTATTGTGACCTGCTCTTTCTGTAAGGATTAGGCTGTACTGCCAGGTTGGCTTAGGCAGACCTGTATGTGTATTTCTCTCGTCCTATGAATAGAAGTTTATTATAATTATTATTAAGTTAGCGGCACCCAGATGCCCTTCTTCCAGATATCTCTAGACCACCACGCAGCCCTCACGTCACGCTGCTGCGATGGAGCTGCTGTCGGCCCGGCCCCAGCGCAGACGCCTTACTTTATGCGAATTTCGTTTCCCCGGGTGCACAGTGCCCACACCTTGTGAGGACAGATGGTGATTTGTCTGTAGACAGCCTCAGGGCACTGAGGAGGAGCCGCGTTGTTTGACTGTTAGCAAGTGCGGCTGGTGGGCAAAAAGGGCAGCTTGGGTCGGCCATCCCGCCCAATGGTTGGACAATAGTACTGCGTTTGAGTTCGTCAGGACGGTAGGGACGTTTGAGCTTAAGTTTGAGTCTAATGAGTGCTGCCGCGGGCCGTCTTAGAGTTCAGGATTTCTCACAACACTACCTGTCCAGCCAAAGATTATTGCCTGGTCGGTATGTCCCGATTGCTTGAGCTAAAAACTTAGCTTATTAATGTGTCATAACGTTGACATTATAAAATTTGTTTACTAACGAGCAATAAAAGTTATTTTGGTTCTCCTGGCGATATGGTGACCTCATTCCCTCTCCGGGTTGTCAACTCTCAGCTTTATTACCGCCGATTCTAGCGGTACGTCTCAGCGGTTGCAATGTTGCTTTCTATTTTCTGCTTCTAATATTTTCCCCTTTTAAAAAAAATGTTGAACATTTTTCTTTCAACGCATACCTTCATAATCTCATAGTACAAAAATAGACTGAGGGAGAGATAGAGAGAGAGAGTAGCCGCAAAGCCAGTTGCCTTTTCTACTAACTCTCATGCGTAGGGACGGTAAGTAGATCTACTCCCTGTCTCTATGCACACCAGTTAGTAGAGACAAAGGCAAATCGCTTTGAACCAACCCACTAGCCTTTGAAATTAAAAATCGCCGCTTTGACTTCAGTTCATGCTGGCAACCCTCCTTCCTTTCTTTCTCTCTGTTTTGAAACCGTATTGAGCTATACTAGTGAATGTGCCACTTCTGGCTAGTACGTATTGACAACTTTCGTTTTATGAGTAGGTTACCCGAATCGTCCCACTGTCGTTCAATTAAAATTACTTGCAGGTATATTTATACAAGGAGGCACATGGAGAGCCTTCGGAAGCCTCAGATTAGTAGCACTTAGAAACCTTTTTCATGGCGAAGGGACAGCCCTGGAAATCCTGTGTCCGTTGAGACTGTCTCTTCGACTTGCTCTGCAGGAAAACCCCCAGACTGCTCCTGTGCTCCTGTGGCTACAGGGTGGACCTGGCAGCTCATCCATGTTCGGCCTGTTCGTAGAACACGGGCCATACACGATAGCTAAAGGAGGAATTCCGCAGTTGCGACAGGTCACGTGGGCCCGGCGCTACTCCATGCTCTACATTGACAACCCTGTGGGCACGGGCTTTAGTTTCACTCAGCGGGACGAGGGATACACTCGGAACGAGACCGACGTTGGCCGAGACCTGTTCGAAGCGTTGCAGCAGTTCTTCACCCTCTTCCCCGAATACGTTGGCAACGCATTCTACGCCACTGGGGAGTCGTATGCGGGTGCGTATCTTCGGGTCTTATCGCAGAATGCGATTTATCAGTCGAAATATATGTGAAAATAGCCAATATTAACAGTCACGTCAATTTCTACGCAAAATATTACGGGGAAATTGTCGCTGCGCGACTTCAATTTTCAAGCAAAATTTTGCGGCGAAATTCACATTACGTGAACACGTCAAGTGACCTTACGTCAAGTGACTTCAATTTTCTCGCGACCTTCGGGGGGGGGGGGGGGGGGGGGAGGAATTCACCTTACGTGACCAGGTCATGTGGCCAAATCACGTGACGTTATATTACCTCATGTAAAGTGATGTCCGTTTCCCCGCTAATTTAAGCAAAACAAATTCACTTGACGTGATCCCGTCATGTATCCTCAAGTCACGTTACGTCAATTTTTTGTGAGCTGATTCTGCGGGGTGTAGATAGCGCTGAACAAATTCAGTGTTCCCCTGTTTTTGGCAACTTAATCAAGCTTACGTATTTTGCTTCTTAGTGCAAGTAGTTTTTTTTTTTTGCAAAGGTTGCGTGATAGACGGTCATCAGATTCATTATTTTTTAAAGATTATCACCATCAATATTTATTCTGTCTTGAGGGGACGAGTTTGCATTGCGCAAGAAAGCATATACTGTAAACGACTTAATTTTTGCGAGGACCTAATTTTCGCGAATGTCGCGAGTCGTATACAATTCGCGAAAAAATAGGTCTCGCGAACAATTCCGGTAAAATGTAAACACATTGGAATCTATAATGATACCTCACCGCGTCGCGAAAATTAGAACCCGCGAATTATTCAAAAACTTCAGCTCTTACCTAAATCGCGAAATATTGAGCACGCGAAAAATAAGTCATTTACAGTAGATATAAAACTAAAAATATCTGCACATCATCATAATCCCATAATTATCATCATCGCCATCATATTATCATATTATTAATTATCATCATCGACATATCATATCTTGATATGTCGACTGAGGAGACACAGGGCTATGGCTGCTAGAAATGTATTAGTGTAATTTAAGCAATGCCGTTAGGTAATCCATTCTAGTCGTCTATGGTGACTTTTTTATGGTAACTCTTTAATGGAACATATAGTTTGAATGTGGTGGCTGTCATTGGGGGAGCGTAGTCTTGGAATGGTGGTGACCTCGCGCATCCGCGGACACTTTGAGAATCCTTGCACTTTTCTTGTCCCTGCTTTAATCTTCCACCAAATGTACCCTTGCGTCCTTCACCGGTCCCCATCTACGACTAACCCACCTTTCGCAGTCCCCGGCGCATTATCTTATTTCAACTGGTACTTGAAGTTTTAACCTAGAGGGAAATGCGGAGGAAGTGTTTGTTTCTATGTTGGTTTTTCTCCAGCAAAACATAAAAAAGGCGTTTTGTTGTACAGTCGCAGACGATATATAAAAAAAGAAACAGGCGGGCGTGTGGCGCCGGAGAACCACAGTGCTATCTAACGAAAGATAGCTGAGCTATCATCGAAGGTACGCGAAAAGCAAATCGTCTGCTTTTTTCGCAGGTGTTGCGATGATGTCAAAACGCCAAGCTCATAATGGCTGGTTAAACCAAATAGTGGATATACCTCAAGGCATCTAGCATTGTGGTCTGCCCACTATTTTTGTTCAACCAGCCAATCAGAGCTCGGCGTCGTTCTGACGTCACCGGAACTCCTACGCAAGAAGCAGACGACTTGCTCTCCGTATTGTGCGCACGAGCGGCATTTCAGCGCATGTTCAATTTTTGTCGTCACTGCCCACTTCGTCCGCAAACGATTGCTGAGTCAACACTGATTTCTGCGCTGTTTCTGAATCAACCATGCAAGCTCAATGAAAGAAAATAAAAACCGACCATCGTCTATTATCTCGCGAACTTAATGGGGACTACTCGCAAACCGTTACCGTGTTCTGTTTACCGCACTACTGAACTTTCGAAGCATGTTTTTAAGCGCGCGCCACCCGGTCACAGTATCACTCTGGGCGCGCGCTTAAAAGCATGCTTCAAAAGCTCCAGTAGTGCGGTACGCGGAACGCGGTAACGCTTCGCTAAAAGTCCGTGTTATCAAAAGCCCGAAAACTCACCGCTCAACTTCCCTAACCGGTGGTTTCAGCCGTGTTTGACTTCACAATTTGTCGCAGAACTCCTTTACAATAGGCGCTCAAATTAGCATTAACTTTGCAATCAGCAGTCAGTCAAGCCGGGAGTTACAACACAAATTTACTAGCAACAGAAGTCGCAAAAAAGGTTGATTTTTTTTCTTAAAAACAGCGCTGCAGACCTAAGCCACGCGCTAGCTTAGGCTTTTTCATACCTTCCGTAACTGTACGGCCGCTTCCTGCGTAGCCCTGCCTTCACAATTCTAACCCCTCGCATTTCACTCCTATTTTTTTTCTTATATATCGACCTGGCTGTCTTCTAGTTTGGCGCGAAAGGCTCTAGTTTTTCTTCTATATAAAACGTTATCTTTAAGAATAACAAGAGCTGTGGGTGCGCGAAAATTTCACTGGAGAATCGAACAAGGTACACAGGTCATCTTTATTGGGTAAATCTAGGTACATGTCGAATAATCCCATTCTGTGTAAGCATATCCTCCCATATAGAGTATAAGCTGAGCATTTCAAGCCAGAAGCGATCACTAAAACGTAAAGACACTGCGATAGAACATGCAAAATAGGATATAAGAATAGTGGCGCCCTCAGAAATCCGCGGGCACTTTACAAAAATCTCCTTTGTTTTTGTTTCATTTTTGTATAAAAAACTCATTTTTTCGGATCTCCAGTCATTCTTGTTTACGAAGAGCCATGTTTTCCTATCTCTCAGCACATTCTTACACTCCCACTGAGAGAGTAGTATAAGCAGTTAGTTTTTTTTTCCTCCAAAACACAAGAAACGAGGGGTGGTTCGCCTTACGACACTTCTGTGGCACTTCCTTTAAGGTGCTTTCATGACCACAGATAGTGGAAGAGTTCTGACATCTAAAGCCCTCAGTGACCTCTTGCTACCTCTTCAATCTTTCCACAGGAGTGGCGTCGCGTCTACCAACCAATTGCCAGTCGCTTAGCAAACTCCTAGCAACGGAGCACGCCGTGTAAACGGCGCACGCCGGTCCGCCATTACCGATCCCATTTCCTTCGCACGCGCATGCCGGCCTTATTGAAAATAACACTTTAGCCCTCGTTCGTTATAAGACCTTGTAAGCCCTTCAAACCCCTTTAGCCCATCAAACCCTTTAGCCTTTCGAACCCATTCAGCCCTTCAGACCCTTCAGTCTTTCAGACCCCTCAGCCCTTCAAACCGTTAGAGGCCCAAAGGACTGTGAACAAAACATCAAGCACGCAGTTTAAAATAATATTGTAAGTTTATTTTAGAAAGACAGTCAGTTTTACATGCATGTTGTAACTAAAACACACGATAAGAGCCAACGTCTACTCCAACCCGGGAGCAAGCAGCTGTAGACAAAAACAACCAGAACAAATAGGAATAACCAAGTTTTTTGTCGCAAAAAAAAAAGATATATTTCGATATACTTCCAATGCCGCTGAATAAACTCCTCTGATGTACGGTAGTTTCACTAAAAAACGAGCAGGGGCACCACACGAACATATACACAATGCCAGTAGCATGTTTAGCGAAAAACACGAATTCGAAACCAACGTCCGCCTCCATTGTGAAATCCCAAGCACGGTCACGATGTCGTCCTTGGTGCCGTCGTTTGGCGTTTCCGGTGCTTTCTCGCTCGCTGGAAGAACTTCTGAGGCTAAACGGACTTTTCCAGTTATATAGGAGCCTATAGTGTGGGGCAGCGTGTGATGTTGAAGTAGGCAGGACAAGTCGATTACCCGCTTGGCGTGGCTTGAAAAGTGCAAAAAAGAGTGACGCCACAAAGAGTAAGAGCCTGTTCACATCCTACACTTCATTGGCGATACGTCATGTAACCACGAAGGCACCAACTCAGCGATTGGACCCGTGTGCACACGTAGTGAAGGTGGCGCTAGCTTTTGGCGGTGTGAGTAATAGAGATGGTGCTTTTTTCTTTATTAGATACATACATTAAGCCAATTAAATAAACCCAAGTGACAGAAACAAAATACTGCATGGCCGTACTTTAATAACTTTAAAGCCGGGCTCACACTGCTCATACATCATACAAAAGACAGTCTGCATACACGAGTCGCCGCAATATCCGTGGTTCGAATGCCGCGCGTCAAGTTTCTCGCAGTACTTATTGCCGATACGGCCTTCGAAACAGGAATCTCGCGTTCCCTCGCGTTCAAATCTTTATGCAGACTGCTTTTGTATGTTGTCTAAGCAGTGTGATCCCACCTTAAGGAGGCGCCGCGTGCAAATACTAACGTTCTTTAGTCAATGTTCCCCAATAAAATAATGGCTCGTGCTTATAATGACTCGTTCTTTACAAAAACCAATGGGATGTATTTATTTTGTAATTTAAAGAAAATGAAGCCAGGCCTGGTACTCATTCTCGATGCTAATCATTATTGCGTGTTTTTTTTTTCCTGTTCAAATATTCCCAACAGGCAAATACGTCCCCACTATTGGGCACGCCATCGACACCGCCGTCCAGCCTCGAGTCCAGATCAACCTCAAGGGAATTGCTATCGGCAACGCTGACATTGACCCCCTTACAATGATGGGCTACGCAGATTACATTTACGAAATTGGCCTGGTCGACAGAAACCAAGCGGCCGTATTACGAGAGAAAACCGACGCCGCCATCAACCTGATCAAGCAAGGACGTTACCTGGAAGCAAACGATGTCGTCGCTCCTATCTTTGACGGTAGCCCGAGCATCTATAACAATTTAACAGGCTTTACAAACTATTTCAACTACCTACTCACCAAAGAGCCTGAGGACCAGCGGTACTACATTCCCTTTATTCAGACAACACGAGTGCGGAAGGCGATCCACGTTGGGAGCCTCCCTTTCTACGACTTTAACCCCACGGTGTATGATAACTTCAATGGCGATAAGATGGTGTCTGCGAAACCCTGGTTTACTTCCTTGCTGGAGAAGTACAAGGTTCTCCTGTACAGCGGTCAGCTGGATATAATCCTTGCTTACCCTTATACCGAGAGCTTCCTCGCCTCTGTGAACTGGACCGGGGCAAGTGCGCTTGCGGCTGTCTCACGACAGATCTGGAGGACTCCGGGAGGAACTGACATCTACGGATACGTGAGACAGGTAGCCAACTTCACCGAGGTCTTGGTTCGAAACGGAGGACACATTCTGCCTTACGACCAACCCGAGGCGGCCTACGACATGATAACGAGGTTTATCGATGGCAAGCCCTTCGTTTGAGTAGTCAGGGTGCCGACTCGGTGACTAGGCCCTCCGCTTTCAACGTCTATAAGCTCTATCACGAATGAATATATTGTTACTGGGGAGGGAAGGGGGCAATTAATGATCTGTTGTGTTTTTTTTTTTACTTCTTTGTCGCGTTTTCTTGTCTTTTCTACGTACACCTTAGTTTGTGTCAATACCAACTTTGAAATAAAGAAAATTTGTAGCTTAGCTCTAGTCACTGTTTGCCGCTTTTTTCTGTCCTCTTTGTGTGTTAACTCTGACCTTTTTTAGTCTCAGGATTACCCTAACGCTCAAGACTCAATTTCTGAGTCTGTTTCTTTACAATGCAGCTCGGCTGATCAACTAGATCCGAGCAATCTTTTTTTTATTATTACTCTGACACTGAGTCATGACTCAGTGTAGGTGTTAGGTTGGTGCACCGATTCAATTTTTTAACCGATTAGGAAACGAACTTTTAATAAAAGAAAAAGTCTGTGCAATATGAGGATTAATAACGTTTTTAGAGCATCATATAATTGTAAAACGAAAAAATACATTTTTGAAACGCAATACCTTGGACGCGTGTAGGTATGCCAACACTGCATATTTTTTCCCTTTAGAATATTTATTTAATTGTCTTTATTATTTTGGGGGCGTACATTTAAACGCCATAGGTTGATGGTAGAAGTAAGGGAGACCACATAAGAAAATACAAACTTTTTTCGACATTTAATAGTCGGTTGCTCAGTGCTATACTGAATGTTAGGTGTCATGCCAGGTGAATGATTTTATTTCTAACATGTTTATTTTAATAAAGCCGTGAAAGGCAAACTACTCTGCTCTCTGCAGGTCAGTTATACGGCAAGAGGAACTTATTTAATGGGGATAATTATGACGATAACTCGAGTTATAATGAACGTTTGTTAACTTAATTTTAGTTAGTTAAATCACCAGCAGCCCAATCAAAAATTTCGGTGGTGGAAAGAGCTCCACTCAAGCATATAGTATTATTGGACATCATATACCAGCAAAACGTCGGTACAAGCATATTAAATTAAGGCGAAACGATGCAAGCGGACTGAACCATACAAGCGTATTGTATTATGGGACACACTATACCAGGATCGTGAATTACGACGGAAAGGTGTAGGTGGAAACGGAACCATATCAGCATATCGTATTATGGGACATCCTATGCACCTTTTTAACAAAGACGCAGCCATCTTGAATGTCTTCACTTCTGGCATCCGTTAAAACAACGTTTTGACCTCTCCACGCCGCTGAATGCTGTTCACGAAAAATGCGTAATTTTCACACATTCTCGTTTTGCCTCACCTATATCTACTCGCATGTTCCAGGTTGAAATGGCTTGTTATTTTTTTGTCCCGCTTACCAGATATGAAACCCACGTGACCGAGAACGGAAGGAAACAAAAAACGCCTGTTCCGAAGAAAACGAGATACCAGGGTGGCCATCATGGTATCGTGTTGCCGCTGGTGAAAAATGTCCCGTAATTCGATATGCTTATATGTTTCCGTCTGACTGCATCGTTCGGCAGAGACTCGCGGACATCGCGGACATCCTACAGTGCATCGTGAAGAGATCCGCGGACATGTCGCGTTCCATGAGAACGCTAGATAAAATGCTTAGATGGGCCAGTTGGTACATCATGGGTACATCCCATGATGTACCCAGTTGGTACATCACTCTTTGTTTTTGTTCTTTTGGCGCTTATTTCCCAGAAAGCTAGATGTCCGCGGGGCTTTACATCAGCGTAGTGGTTTCGAACAAGCTTGATGTTTCCACACCGATACACTCTTGTCCGAGGTTGTCGTTGAGCAGTGGCAAAATGTAGTTACTTTGTAAATTTGATTACAGGTATTAAATTCTGGAAGAATTCCAAGCAGCAAAGCTTAACTGCGCTCGAAAGATGAAAATATAAATTTATAACTGAACAATGGTGCCCCTTGAGCTGTGAAAAGGAGTTGAACCAAAATTATCTAGTGTAAATCTAAAGAAAAAACTAATTCGGAAGACTTCTTATGATCATGAAGATTATGAAATGTTTGCAAGAGACAATATTTGCTAGAGCAGGAGTTCAAGAAGAAAACACTGAGTGTTGCGAAACCATCTTGCCATAGCAACATTATAAATTTCCCCAAGGTACAGCTAAAACTTGCGCATGATTGTTCCCATTGTATGACATAAAAATAAATATGCGACCTACAATATTTACAAGCTTAACCAACTCTCAATCAGTGGAACAAATGGTATTGAAGATTGCTCTTACCATGACTATCTGCAAACTTTCACGTATCCATTCCCAGGAATCTATCTATTTCGAGCCCTTATTGATTATACTTATCAGTCAGTCAAAAATGATCTACCACCCGTGCTTAACCATTTAATTACTAATAATATTAATAATCTTATTATGAGAATAACATATTATTATTGATACACTTCATATAATTCTGTCAAACGTTGTGTATAAATGAATATGTGTTATTTTATGAAATCACTCTATTGTAAAGCGTATATTTCTTCTTGTTAAAAAGGTTGTAGTTTTTTTTTATATAATGCTGAAAACGGCTGCACGTACGTCATTTCTTTTGCTAAGCGTATTTTCTTTTTCGAAAGTGTTGTATTTTCTAATATATTATCATCAGAAGCTGTGCCTATAATTTTTTTGTGTATGTGCGTGTGCGCCTGTGGGTGCGCCTGTTTGCGGCCTTTATGTTGTTGCTTTGTTGTAACATTGTGGTATTTGGGTAAAAATGGTTTCTTTTATTGGCGCGTTTCTTTTTTTGTATACTGAAAAGTTGTCCTGCTTGTGCTACTGCTCAACTCCGAACGAACCCCAGACACCGTCAATCTGCATTTGGCAGCTTTTTGTATGGGGCACTGTTGGCTTCAAGGCTAAAAATAAAGAAATTAATTGAAATTGAAATACTTGATGCAAGGTATTTAAAATACCGTGAGACGTTTTAACGCTAATAGAAAGCCTGTAGGGAATCACAAACGAGGCAGTTTTTACAACATTCTGAAGGGTAATTACCGATATGTGATCTTTAAAACTAGGCCTTCACTAAATAATTTTCTCATGTCAAATGTGCTACGCATTGTTCACTATATAAGCCTTAGCAGAGCTGACAATATGCAAGTTCGTGTGTTTTTTTTTTGTGCATCTTTCTACTGCTACGCGCGACAGGTATATAAGAAGGAGAGAGAGGAATTACTTTATTTTGGGACAAAATAATACCATAGACGTGCTCGTCCGCTAAGCAGACCAGTATCGACGTGAGCCACCGAAGCCAGCCACAACCGTCAGTGTGGAGGACGAGGTTGTGGCAGTGGAGAGATCGGATGGCTGTGGGGCAAGCGGACAGGAGATGCTCAACGTTCGCAAATGGAAAGTGGCAATTGTAATTAGTTAATTGGACAAACTACAAAAAATAGGCTTAACAATGGACAACCTGATTCGTTTAAAGTTGTCTTCTTAAAATGCACCAAATATTCTTATATCTTGGGTCAATTTACGTAGAATACCCAGTAAAATGCTCAAGTTTGAAAATTGTTAACACAATTTTTTTAAAGGTGGCGCTGTCAGATATTGATACCAAAGACGCTGGAAGGTGGTTTCATCACAGTGTGGTTCCGGGTATGAATAAATTTTAAAAGGTATTAGTCTTACACGAAGGTACGCCCATATTGTGTTGGTGATTGAGACGTGGTTGTATGTAAGAAGATGCTAATAGCTTGGTACGTAAATTGTGATTGTGGTAGTAGGTTTTGTAGAACAGGCACAAGCGGGAAACTTCTCTATGCAATGCAAGGTTAGACAGGTAAAATTTGAGTTCAAATTGAATATCGAATTCTTGAACAGAGTGAAGACAAACTGCGGCCAATCTACGAGTGCACCAGAGGGCCCGCCGACAAAGTTGTCTGGAGTGTGAATCAACAGTTGAACATGTGCTGATAGGATAGCGATCATGATTGAAGTGCAAGTGACCAAGACCGCAGGATAAACAGCGATGCCAAAATTTGCATAGGGATGCATACATCATTAGAGCGATGCATTCCTAAGCTATCTCTACTGCGGTTCTTGATGTAAATATTAGTAGTGTTATTTTAAACTGTTGCTTGCATATCGCTACATCTAGAACAGCTGAAATGACCTCACCGAATCATTCAGACAAACCAAGGAGAGTATATTACAATTATAGGCAAGGAAAATGTGGTTTATAAGTTTGAACATTGTTTTATGTATATATATATATTGTAAGAAGCATAAAACAAAAAAAGTGCAGCGCACGATGAAAGTTCATTTTGTTCCGCTCCACTCAGCCTGCGTGTACCCAGCGGCTACCACTACAATGTGCGGATGTTTGGAGATGAAATATATTAGAATTAGTTATGCTTTCACGGGCAGAAATTGGCACCTTGGGCGATGTTGCTATAAACGCGCGAGGACTCCAAGCTTCTACTCTGTTTTCTAAACACACCCACAAACTAATTCGCAGTAAAGAACCTAGTGATGTCGCGGTAAGAACCGGGCGCCACCAAAGCGCAAGCATTCACTTCGCGTATTCCGTTATTCCTTGCACAAACATGACATTTTGCACCTTTTTCGGCCCACACTTTATAGAAAGAAGTTACAAAGGTCTCTCGACGACGACGAGGAAAAAGCCATGACTTTCTTGCTGTTCCTGCTGCTCGCTGACTTGCTCTCAGCAATGCTGCTGTCGGCTGTGGTCTCGCCGAGCATGGCATCGCCAGACCAGGGCTGGAGCTTCCGGAAAAGCGCCTGCATCTACAGGCACCTCGTCTTCCCCCACGGCTCCAACTTCTCCTTCCGGAGCCCCTGCCAGATGGCGGTCTGCGACGCGACCAACGCCAGGATGGCCTTCAAGAGGTGTCCCAGAATGAAATGCCCGCACTGCGACAACTACTGCCGCCAGGTGTTCCAGGAAGGAAGCTATCCGCATTGCTGCAAACAGATTCGCTGCGACGAC